TCTGCATGAACTTCGTCCTTCTTTTAGTCCCTTTGCAAGCTGCGTCCTTTCCTTTTTGTGCGTAAACTTCGCCGTTCTGTTCTGTGCGTGGATTTTGTGTAGCTAATTTGCGAAAAGAACATGAGGAGTGCGGTCGACGAAGCTGACTGGGACGTCTTTTGCACAGATCCTCACTGGTGTCATCTCATCAGCGCCGAGCTGAGCAGAATGATGCAGTGGTGAAAAGGATTCCCGTCTTTTGAAAAGAAAAATTGAAGAACTGTCGTCTTTTGAGAACAAAAATGGAGTGGCGATTAGGAAACCTACACTTTCGCGATGTAGTGATTGATTGGATCGATAGAGCAATAGCTGGGGTGAGGTCCCACTATCACAGAGGAATGAATTTTAGGACTGAATCTGGACGTGTTTGAGGACAGATGCAGAAAACCGAGATTTGATCTGCTTTTCTGCATCTCAGCTTAGAACCTATCCAGATGTAGGTACTTGACCTATCAATTTTCATTTCCAAGCGGGATAAGATTAACGCAATTCCCTAATGCGGGGTTCATAAATAGGTTCTAACATCATTTTAAGTACTTGTTGTACGATCCTGTCCTGGAAGCACGATACTCCCAGTGGACACTGTTCGTTCTTCCCAGGTTTCGGGGGAATACGAGTTGCTCCAGTGGAGGCTGATGGATGGATGGATGGCCACCATCAAGAATTATGCCTCAAGTCCTGTGCGGAAATAGGAAGCATTTCTAATGGTCTTTTAGCACATTTAGCTGGACGAGCGAACAGACGTCTGCCCAATCTGGGTGGGGGCGGGGACGGGGCAGGTATATGGGGTTCTTGTGGGTGGATGGGGGGAAGCATTTCTCATCTTCGTTTAGCACATTTAGCAGGACGAGCGGACAGAAGGCTACCCAATCTGTTAGTAGTTTTTCGTTGTTTTTTCTTTACTGCATCGCAATATGAAAAGTGCATTTCTCATTTCCTGAAAAAGGAATGTGAGCATTTTGAAGAAGACGTGGAATGCAATTTTTTCATGAGGTTATGGTGTTCAACAGCAAACTGGCCATTGCTGGTCGCTATTCTTCTTCTCATGCTAAACAGCGGGGTGATGAACATTCGGTCTGCCCCCATGTTGTCGGTGCATTGTTTTTTTTTTTTGTTTTTTGTTTTTTGGGAAGCTCAGATGTTTTTTCTACGTATGAATCAGGGCCGGGGACTGCACAGTCCAGCCAGTGCGTGTGCTTTTTCGTCTGCCGTCCCTCACCTCTTCTCTTTTTCGTCTACCATTTGCCGGTTCAACCTTGCATTTACTCACAACCGGGACTTCCTAGTGAATGGACATACGTTCCCTTTTTTTCCCCCCATTTCCTTTTTTTTGAAGGGAGTATCCCGTAGTATTGTCATATCCATCTGAATCATCAGGATTCGAACTCATGTGCTGTTTTTCAGTAACAGACACATGTGACAACGTGCACCATGCTGTTGTTCAGTAACAGATACATGTGTGTACCATCGAGCCAGACTATGCCAGTCAGTCAATCAGACAACCAATCAATCAAGCAACCAGCCATGCAATCAATCGCCCGACCAATAGCGCAACCAATCATGCAATGAATCACACAACTCAGACCGCTAGCCAGACTTATGAGGCCTCTGCCAACCAGTCAACGACTATGTCGGTCAGTCAATGAGACATTGTCAACCAATCAATCACAGCCAATCACACAATCAATGGCACGATCAATAGCGGAACCAATCACACAATGAATCACACAGCCGATTACACAGAGCAGGGCACTAGCCAGACTTCTGAGGCCTCTGATTTGACATGCACCTATTTTTTAGTTCTTTTCCCTGCCCTTTTTTCTCTTAAAAGTAGTTGCTGGTGGCAGGATCAGGCTTTCTATGGCACAGCCAGCCTGGGGTTGACTGGTCATCCTAATTTCCTAACACCCTTCCCTAAACACACACGAAACGACTCCTTAGGGACTTTCTTTCATCCCCGCGTTGCGAGCCTTAGACCCCTGTTCAGTGCACTTAGTCAAGGATCCCCCCGCCACGGTAGGATGCAAATTTCATAACGTAAGGAGTCCTAGCTATGAAGAAATTTGAGGCAGTAAAAGGTGGATTCCTAGGCTACCAGAGTTGCCCGGGACCAGTTCCCTGGCCGGGCCAAAAAAACAAAAAAAAAAGTTTTTTTTAACTTTTTTAAAGTTTTGTTTTTTACTATTTTAAATTCGGTAACGAATTTCGATATGACCCTGAGGCAAAAGTTGTTCAGTTTATTTTTCTGGACTAACAGCATTTTGGACTATGGCAACCATCCGCAGCGAGGTGCCATACCTGTGAACCATAACCCCAGCAAAGACCCACTGCTCTAGCCCGTCATCCGTCCTTAACCAATCTCAGCACACGACCATAGCAAGACAGGAAATGGCCCAAAATTGCCATAGCCTTCCTAGCTCCATGCTCTCCTGCCACTGCAACAAAAATTGTCACATCATCGACAATTCGAAATCCACGAACCAGGCGTCTGTCCATACCCAAGGTCCGTAAGAACCTAAATTCAGCATGAGAACAGAGGATACAAGCAAGGGGAGAGCTAGACGACTTGCCCATAGGAACACCCACCACCTGTTTCAACAAGCATCCATCTGATCGGATGAAAGTAAAACAAAGATCAAAACGAACCATCATCCGAATTTCATCAAGCGATATGAGAATGCACTCATCTCTGGATCCCCCATAGGATACCCAGGCCTTCCTACGCTTAGCCACCTTAACCCCATGACACCCTTTGCCCTGAAAAAAGGATGCCAACCAATCGATTGCACTCAGAATGTCTTCATGGGGGAGGGATACAAACATGTCCTTCATATCAAAAGAGGCAGATACAAGGTCATGATAACCCACCAATTTGTCAAAAGAATTACTAGCCTCAAGGTCTGGGACGAAATCCATAACAGCACGGAGACTGAAACCAGTGTAGGCTGGTAGTGCAAATAATAAAGCATTCAGCCCCCTTGCTACCCTGGAGCTAGCAAGTCTAGATGGTTCAGCAAAGGTAGGTGAGATCGGGCGCCAGCGAGTAAGATCCTTATGCTTGGGTAAAGCATAAGCATCCCCAAATGTGCCCCCCGAATCCCACCTACCCAGTCTATTCAATCTGAGGTCATGGAACACGTCCCTCATGCGATCCAGAACCAGGCTCTCCTCCCTCAAGACCGGAAAAAATGAGACATTCCAATTGAACGTCGAGTAAAGGTAATGCCTATAGAGGATTGGGCAAATAACAAGTGTGTCCGAACAGTTGCGATCAATCTGAAGGCACACAAAAGGTCGGAGGCGTGAGAACCAAGATGCCAAATCAGGAGGACATGAGTCAGATGGGAAGTCATTCAATCCAGCCCAACAAGCCTGCAATTGGGACAGAGTAACGACGAAGGAGGATCACAGATAGCTAGCGACCTTGACAAGTTGCCTCCCAAGCTGCAGCACACCATCCTTGGGGAGAACTCGCGGGATATTTTGCGAGTTTCTGAAAAAAGAAGGAATACCCGGAATACCGCCCATCCTCGTCAAAATGGGCAACCCCAATCGGCCCCAGGCAGGCTCACACTGGCAACCACACACCCAAGGATGGTCCTCACACGAAAGTCGCTGCACCGTACGAAAGTACCCTGCCACCGTACTATTTTTTCTCCAAACCAGACGAATCTTCCTTCGGAGGATTCCTTTAATACCATCAGGAAATGAGGAAGCACCCAGGATCATCAACATCAAACCATGCACCCGTGCGGTATCGATCTGATGATCATAACAAAGCTTAAGCTTAACCACAATCCTAGTGCGCACATCGATCCCCACCCTGGTTTTGATAGCCATAGCCAGAACACCCCGAAGAGTAGTGCGCTTGCTCTTACCAGAGAAGGCCCGAGCAGCCTTAAACCAGCGGTCCGGGATAAGCAAAGCAAGGGGCTTCAAACGTAGGAGACGGCGCCTCCAGGGCTCTAGTAACAATAGACAAAGGTGGCCTTTGTGGATAGCTCGGCCATTCAGAGAGAAGATAACAACATGGAAATGCCAAGTACCCCCATGCTGCAGTTCAGCCTTCAAATCCTTGAGTGGGCTAGAAGCCGTCCTGACTCGGACCAGCGAAAGACCAAAGTTCCTTCGGATAAGCGGCCAGGTGTCAGCCCACAAATTACCAGGAGATATCTCCAATATCAGATTTTTCTGGTTACGCAAAAGCGCACGCTTCAAGGAAAAACAGCAGGCTGTCCGACCAGACTCCACCCGGTTCAGGAAAAGTCATCAGGCCAATCGAGGATAACAAAGGAACATTATCCCTCCGACTAATCCGACCACGCTGTCAATGCTTGCGTATCCTGCGCATCTTCCGTTGAAAATTCAACACGGGAGAGAAATTCCTAATCAACACAGACTCAGCCACCTCCATCGAAGCAACATTGTTCACTAGAGACACCGTTACATAGTTATCGACCCCAATAAGACGCAACCAACGATACAATTTACGGCACACACCAAAACCGTGGATCTGGACAGTGCACACATGTTCAGCCCATCTGATGTAAATCCCACGAGTCGAGCACCGAATGTATTGGGCCTGGCACAACGGCGAGGAAAGAACGTACACCACAGGGCCAGAGTCCCAGGAATCCCAATTCAGACTGAGGAGTAGCGAAACGAATTTAGTCATCCACAAAACCTCCCCTAAGATCGCAAGCCCAACAAAACATAGCGTAGAGCACTTGTCATGAAGACATCGGAGACGCGAAGATCCACCACCTTGAAAAAGTGAATTCCTAAGACGCATACATCGAAAAAGGTTCTGCCAAAGCTGGAACCGAGCATACCTACTGATTCACTTAGCACACGGCAAACATTCCTCTTCTCCGGGCTCCCAACTGTCGACGCTGGGGTAAAGATGAATCCTTCATACACCACCTTGACCCGTTCCTCAATTATCTTCTCGATCGTAGGGGCCTTTGTGGTGCCTTTGATTCCTTCAGAGGCACAGATAGCCTTCAACTGGTCCTTGTTCTTCCCAGTGAGAAGCCGTCGTTGCTGCAAAATCTAGTTAAGTAGCCCTTCCGGGCCACTCCCCGCTATGATCTTAGTTCGAGCACGCTCCGCCCCCATCTCAGAGGACGCCAGCCGGAGATTATCAACCGAGCCGTCATCTCTATGAAACACAGGCTGTTGAAACAGTCTTCTGGTCACTTGCACAGGCTCTTTACCCCGCATCTTTCTTTCCCGCATCTCATAAAGTTTTGCTATCTCATCTTCGATATCCTCAATCCCATAGTCTTCAAATTCCACAGCATACCTCCCACCTTCCCTGATAGGAGTAACCGAAGCCTTGCAGGCAGGTGAGCGCCCTTCCTCCCGCTGCGCTTCTCCCTGGGTAACTAGGTACTGCCGCCCTATCTTCATCATTACCCGGGCTTCCACAGCTTCCGAGTTCCGCTCGATCTCCTGTCGGATCAGCTCGTCCATCTTCCTTCTCTCCTCAACTTCCCTTTTCCGATTCTGCTCCTCACGCTTGTCTTGAATAAGCTGGCGTAAGAACTCCTCTTTGTTATCCTCCTGCGTGAGCCTCAGCGTCCAGAATCTAGTAGTTGCTGCGGCAGTATTGCCTCCTCCTACGGACTGCTATTGACGCTGAGAGCGACACTCCCTAGTGAAGTGTCCCTCGCCCCCACAATTAAAGCATTTATTACCTGGAGTCGCCATCTTATTACAAACGAGCAGGGAAGGAAGCAACCACCAAGGAGGAAGAAGAAGAAAAGGAAAGCAGAAAAAGGGAAGGAAGAAGAAGAGGAAGAAGAAGAAGAAGAGGATGAAGGAGAAGAAGAAGAAGAAGAAGACGGAAGGATCACAATATCAGTAGCTATGCAGAATCGCCAGCCGTGGAGGCAAAGTACTATATTACCGGGAAAGTCCAATGCCAAAACCTTTCCTCCCCTCAAAAAACATATACAAAGGAATCTAATCTACGCGTGCAATGATGCGAATCAGATTCAAATTACTGTCAAAGTACACCTTGATCCTAACCAACGTGTCCTCTTCAGGAAACCATAAAGCATACTTTAGCAATACGCGATCCTAACCAGCGTGCCCTTTTCAAACTCGGTGCACGAGTTTGTCACCCTTATCAAACTCGGCGCGCGAGTGAAAATGCTTTTGTTCCTCTTTTGAACTCGGCGCGGGAGCTTGTTGCCCGCGTGTGACTTTGTTGCCCTTTTCAAACTCATTTGTGCCACAACTGAACTTACCCCATTTTTTAATTAGATAAAATCAGTTAGCTAAGTCATGAACCGCTTGTATGGCCGGGGGTTTTATCTTGGACGCATAGTTGTGGGTCCCTGGCAACGAAGTGCAGGCTTCTAATCCATCGGTCATGAAAGTCGTAAATAATTTATGAATTAGATAACATTAGTTAGCCAAGTCATGAACCGCTTCTATGGCCAGGGTTTTTATCTCGTACACTTAGCTGTGGGCTCGCGTAACAGGTTTCCTGATGGAGGGGGAGAGGGAGTGTCCATCATATTGGAGTTTTTTTTTTTTCTTTTTTTCTCCCACTGGTTCTTTCCCTTTCTTTTTTTGTCTTTGTCCGGTCGTTTTCTTTTTCCGCTCTTTATTTTTTTTGTCCTTTAAATTCAAGTTTGGGGCCCACACGGTTGTTAAACATCAATGTAGGTCTGTATCTGTTCCATCCATCTAGGCGGCGTCTTTTTCAATCCTCTCAATTTTCCTTTTGAAGTGAGCCTGGTATGGCTCGATGAGGGGGTTATGCAGGAAGGAAGAGAAACAGCTTTGCGGTTGAAGTGACATAATGGGGAAGGGTGAAACAGAAAATTGGTCTTTCGGGGGACATTCGTTAAACTAGAACGATACAGAGAAGATTAGGATGGCCCCTGCACAAGCATCACACACATAAATCGAGAGATGGTCGAAATTACCAGCAGGCCTAGCTCAGTCGGTACACCCATGAACTGTAGAAATACAGACCCAAGTTCAAATCCAAATACTGTCAGATGAACAGCACGAAACCATTCTGAATTACATGAGGGCAGGTCAGCTGAATGACGATATGCACCAACGAGCCTAGCTCAGTGGGTACAACCATGAACTGAACTGTTGCAATACAGACCCAAGTTCGAATCCAAATGATGGAGCTAGATGACTAAGACCAAATGAATTACCTGGGCATCTTTGCTCAACGAGTTTTTATCTTGTTGAAACAGTTAACACAATTGAACAGATCATGAGTTCTCTCTCTCTCTCTCTCTCTCTCACACACACACACACACACACACACACACACACACACACACACACACACACACACACACACACACACACACACACACACACACACACACAGAGCTGGTTTTTTTTTTTTTTTCCGCGCATGTGCATGTGCACCATTCTCTTGCGCATGGTGCAGTGCGCCGCAATTATGCAATATCTCTTTCTTTCTGTTCTTTCTTTAGAGCCCCTTGAAACCCGACCCTTATTTGGACCATTTCTCAAGTTGTCCAGGCAGGGAAACCCTTACAGAAGGGCTGGGGATGAGGGAACGCAATGAAAGAAAATTTGGACCATTTCTCGATTTATGCACATCGTCCTTGCGCAGGGACCATGCTAATCTTCTCTGTATCGTTTCAATTTTAAGGGATGTTCCAAAGGAATGACGACAATATCTCAAGGCCATCGCCCTTTTTTTTTTTTCAAGGAGAAAACTTCAAAACAGAAATGGTTGAAATTGGGGGGCGGGGGGAAACTGTCCCCAGCGGTTCAGTTCATGTTTACGCCAGATCCGTAAATCGGACCACTCTGGAGGTGTGGCTGGACCTCTGTCTGGAATTCTCCGGACATCAAAAAGGAAATGGTTGAAATTGAGGGGGAGGGGGGGGAACTGACCCCAGCGGTTCAGTTCATGTTTACGCCAGATCCATAAATCGGACCACTCTGGAGGTGCGGCTGGACCTCTGTCTGGACTTCTCCGTACTGTCCGGATTGACCCTCCCCGCCCCGATTTGGTTGTGAATTTCGAGATGATCCTCAGCCAAAAGATTTTTGTATTGCAATGCTGCATAACATATCTTTTTTTTCAGGTTTTTTTGTTTTCTCTTTGCAAGTCGGTTTTTTTTTTTTTTTCCAGGGGGTGGTGGTGGTGGCAGATGGACGTCTGGACTGGACACCGGGATCTGGACATCCCGACCCAGACTATCCGCACTTCGATCTGGACGTGTGGATCGTAACCACGGTTCAATGGAACCATGGAGAAGATGCTGCCGCTCTTTATTTCTTTTATTCTTTTTGTTTTTAAAAACATCATTTTATAGTAGGTTTATACTAGTTTATAGCTGCCTCTCTTTTGGGATCTGGTCCATCTGTGTAGTGGAGAGGTGACCTCTTGTACCCCCTGCACCCCTTTTTTGCCGGATTGTAACTTCCTTTGTTTTTTTTTTTTCCGAACCACCAACAATATCTGCCAACTGGCACCCTTTGGGTTTCTGAATGTGCATGGCGATTGGAACAAACAATACAGAAAGGATTATCATGGTTCCAGTGCAAGGATGGTACGAGCAAATAGAGAAGAGGAGATAGAGGTTTGAGAGAAAAAAAAAGAGGAGGCACCTTGTGTACCATGATCTACCGGACTCTTCCTCAAAGAAGTTCAAACGAGCACTTTGGTCTGTAAGTAAAAATGCAGCAGAAACTGTTCCACACCAGAGCTGTCGACGTTTGAAGTCACTGTCCTGTGTTGTGGATTTCTCGACCTGATGGGAGTTCTCGAGCTGATGGGAGTTTTCGAGCTGATGGCCACGATCACCGGTACTCACATCCACCTTTGCTGCCATTGAGCATCTTGATGGCTACTCCTTGCGTGCCTGTCCAACTCTACTACGTCTGTATCTGAACTGCTTCTGGTCATTGAGAAAGAAGCTGACCAGTGACCTTCTTCTTCTCCTTCTTCATATCTTCTGTTCATTGTGGTCGCATATAGCTTAAAACCGAGGAAGGAGATCAATCAAGATTAAGTGGGGAAAGTTATAGATCCCCTTGCGACAAAAGGTTTGTACTCATTTCCCCCTTTCCAGGTGTCGGAGGCCCCGAAAGGCTTGATGCACGGGGGGGATCCCTAACGTTTGCCACCAGCTTTCGTGGGCCTGTCGGACCTTTTGCCACTGTCCCGGGGAAAACAAGTACGAACGTTTTGTGCGGGGGGGGATCTATGATTTTTCTCAAGATTAAGGGCTAGTAATTTTCTTGGCTAGTAATATGCATTCTGCAGTCAGTACTTTCATACACTAAGTTATTTGCACAAGAAAGGACGTTTTCAGTATGTGCTTGTTGTTTTGGCCGTCTCTGGCCGGTTGGTCCTTCCAATGCCCTTAGTTGGGGGCGAGAGCCCAGGAGACTAATGGTACCGATCTCTGCTGAAGGACTTGAGAAACAGACTTCTCAAGTGGATCTTCTGTCGTGGCAGCTGTTTATGAAACCTTGTGAAATACATGTAGCTTGCCTGTGCTGCAAGGTGCAAGTGTACAATAACAAAGTTGAACACCTGGATCATCCTCCGTTCCGCTGTTGATCTCTGTCAATATGTCTGCATGACTAGCATCAGTGTTTTGCAGGTGTTGCATGTCGAAAGGTGTGAAAAAGCGGTTCCCTCCATTTTGCGTCGCCCTCCATTTTGCGTCGATACTCTCGCAAGGATGGACGGCCTTGTCTTGGAGAAAGTCTTGTGGCGACAGTGCCGATGAACTGTGATGATGGCAGGGAGTAACGTTTTGGCTGTGTATTCTAAAGTTTGATTGTCATATAGTGAACATCGACCTGTGGTCGCCTTGACTAGCGTGGTGGAAGATACAGCCCTCTTACACTCCCATCCCTTCTCGCTCAGTCATGAAGCTTTGCGGTGCTCTTCTTGGATCACTCCAGATGGTGGTGCTTTGGGGTGTAGTTTTTTCATTCCAGCTGGTGGAACTTTGAGGTGATCTTCCTGGATCACTTTAAAGTCATGGCTGATGTTGGAATCATTTACGTCTGTTTTGCCGGGAAGGTCTAAAACGGCCATCCTTTTTTTTTTGTTTTTTTCTTTTTGTTGAAAAGGCCCCCTTTCAGTGATAGTGGTGCTGGTCAGAGCAGACACCACTAGCACCTGGGGAGAGGCTCCATCTATTGGTGTGGAGCATCACCTGCTGGAAACCAGGTCCAGCATCCCTTATACAGACTGACTTTGGAGTATATCAGGAAAAGAAAGCAAGTGGGAGACTCCTCTTCGCCCTGAACCAGGCAGCAGATACCTACTGCTGCAAACAAGTTCCTCCCTCCCCTCACCAGCCCCTCTTACCACCCTTCCGCCTTGGGCTGCACCTGCCGCTTCTGAGACATACCTGCTGCTGCAAGACTTATTCCTCCCTTCCCTCACCAACCTCTTTTGCCATCCTTCAGCCCTTGTTTGAGGCTGTATCCATCCGCTTTCCTTGATTATCCTGGAGACCAGGTGATATTTTTTGAGCAGGATATTGGGAGGAGGGAGAACCTCTTCACCCTGAGCCTGGCGCCAGATACAC